TTGTAGACATGTAGTGAGGGCACAATGTGACTTTTGACTTGATGATTTTATGATGTTTGCTGGCAGCCCCCACCAGTAGGATTCCTGTCATAGCAGTGGTTTTTACGAGGACTGCTCAGCAGGAGAGAGGGATGCTGGCTCAAAGAGGCTTTATGTGATGCCACCACCGCAGTGGCACCACAGTCCGACTTGGCTGTCTCTTGGCCTTTGTTGCCAGTCCTCTTGATTTCACTCTAAACACAGGCCTTGTTTGTTTAAACGTCTGCTTTCCCTCTTGTTAAGGCTTTGGGAAACATCAAAAAGGCCTGTTGTAAAAATGAGATTCTCAATCAGGGACTGTGGGTGGAGATATGTGGAGCGGGCGGGGGGGGGGGGTGTAGGAAGGGCAAGCTGAGGTCAAGAGTTGCCTTTGTTCAGCATGCTCTGGTATGCACTCTGCCCTCTCTTATACTCACAAGTTTGTAACCTTTATTAGTGGCCGACAGTCCTTGCAATCAGATATTTCAAGGAGCCTAATATGAAAAGGTAACTTGAGCAACTGCAACAAAATTCATATGCAGTCCAGCTATTTTTTTTTCAGCACCTTTAAAAGAAGGAATCGTCCCATTTCTTGATGTGAAAGTGTGATTGTGACATTGGCCTTCTTAACCATAACATATCATCTTCCCTCCCAGGTGCGTTATTGCCAGTCCCTCAGTGAGGAGGAGAAGAAGGAGCTACATATGTTCAGTGTCCAGAGGAAGAAGGAAGCACTGGGGAGAGGCACAATAAAACTGCTGCCCCGCAACCTTCTGAACAGCATTTGTGAGCATGTACGTGCCCTGTCTTGCATGTATTATTTACAACTGTAAATATGGAGAGGACTGGGAGAGTGACCGTGGTATGAACTTGTTTTGAAATCAAGGACCTAGCGCATAGTCTTTCAAAATCCAAAAGCCTTCTTCAACTACAGTATTGAAAAAAAGATTTTTTGCCCGTTCACTGTGCATCTCCTCCATGGGTATTTGGTTAATCTGTATCCAGTTTTAACTAAAACCCAGAGGGGAAGCGGAAATAAAGATCTCAATGTCAGCCATGCTATTTAAGAAAATCCCTAAACACAAGCTGGATTTGCAGCCCTGCAGACTAAAATTTATTCTCTGCTGAGTGGTTTGGAGTGGCTCAGTAGTGTTTCACTTAGAATTTACAATGACTGTTGAGCAGCCAAAGGGTGCCCATAAACCTTGTCAAAACATAGTCCAACTGATGAAGCGCTCCACGAGACACCCCTACTTTCTCCAAGACAGTTTTTTTCTCTTGTTTTCTTCTTTTTAACTGCCTGTTCTATCCAAAGTCACTGTAGTTGATTTGAAAAGTCATGTCCTCATATGATACACGGGTCAGGGAAGAAAAACAAATCGGCCACTCTGGGACTGCAGTTAGGACAACCCAATGGGCTTGCACACACAGATGCGCCAAATATTTACCCCCTCATCAACAGAACAAATGTACTCGGAAGCCATATGATGATTAGTTGCTATGGGCTAAGCTTTGTGTTACATTAGGAGCCAATTTGGGCTTGAAGCCAAAGCTGTGTCCATGCAGTTGTGTGACAGATGTAATTACCTATGCAGGATTTACATAACCTTATTACAGAAAAATTTGGAACTACAGCTAATGTGCAATTTCAGAGTAATTTCAGGATGTTATTATAATCAACCATGTGATTGTGTCTGCATATTTCAGTGTGGTGAAAGCATCAATGGTGGAGAAATGGCAGTGTTCGCCTCAAGGGCGGGCCCTGGGCTGTGCTGGCACGCTGCATGCTTTGCCTGCTCCACATGTAGCGAACTGTTGGTGGATCTGATCTACTTCTACCACGATGGAAAGATCCACTGCGGAAGGCACCATGCTGAGCTACTCAAACCACGCTGCTCAGCCTGCGACGAGGTAAAACCGCAAGACTGACATACTGAGAAAAAACAATGTAGTAGAGGGAAAACATCCAGAGTCTGACGTTTATGGTCTTTGAGGCTAACCTCTGGGATAGCAATAACATTTATTTTATTTCTACATTGACTTGAATAAATTCAACATGAATATACAGGCTGATGACAGCCAGGAAGGTAGAAGATGGCCGTTTTGTCTCATCCAGTGCACATCTTTGTCCACAGATTATTTTTGCTGACGAGTGCACAGAGGCAGAGGGGCGCCATTGGCACATGAAGCACTTCTCCTGTTTTGAATGTGAGACAATTCTGGGGGGTCAGCGCTATATCATGAAGGACGGCAGACCATACTGTTGCGGCTGCTTCGAGTCTCTTTATGCAGAGTACTGTGAGGCCTGTGGAGATCACATTGGTAAGATGATGGTTTTCTCAAGAAAACACCTGTAATACTTGTCTAGACTAAAGAGTAGTGATGCTAACCATCTCAACATTTTCAGGTGTTGATCATGCCCAGATGACCTATGATGGGCTTCACTGGCATGCCACTGAGAGCTGCTTCAGCTGTGCTCAGTGTAAGAGCTCTCTACTGGGCTGCCCCTTCCTGCCACACCAGGGTCGTATTTACTGCTCCAAAGCCTGCAGTCTTGGGGAAGATGTACATGCCTCTGACTCCTCCGACTCTGCCTTCCAGTCAGCACGCTCACGTGAATCCCGCCGCAGTGTGCGCATGGGTAAGAGCAGTCGCTCAGCTGATCAATGCAGACAGTCACTGCTTTTCTCACCTTCTGTCAACTATAAGTTCCCTGGCTTCAGTGGAAATGCTGATGACACGCTGACCAACAAGCTGGCCCACATGAACTTATCTGATGAGCATTTTTGGAGAGGACGTGGTGAGGAGACTGAGGCACCTGAGGACCAGGAGGAGGAGGAGTGGGCAGAGCATGAAGACTACATGACTCAGTTGCTATTAAAGTTTGGGGAACACGGGGTCTTCCAGCAAGCCAATGACTCAAGACCAACAGATTTCTGGATCGCTGAAAAGGACACAAGGTCGAAGCAGGAGTCCTCTAAAGCTGTCAGTGGCAGTGCCGGAGGACGGGGGAGCCTTGCCAGTAAAAAGTACCAGGCTGACATGTATTGGGCCCAGTCACAGGATGGGCTTGGGGACTCAGCCTACGGTAGCCACCCGGGCCCGGCAAGCAGTAGAAAGATCCAGGAGTTGGAGCTGGATCATGGGGCTGGAGGAGGCTTCCAGGGAGAGGAGCCACAATGGTACAATGACTCTTTGGAGTGTATCACAGATGAGTTCAAGAAAACAGATCAGAGTGTCCGAGACTCCATGGACTCACTGGCTCTCTCCAACATTACTGGTGAGTAGATGTGAAATGATCAGGTGTAAGAAAGTAATTTTTTATGCGTTGGTAATAGTTAATTTTTAAAACAGGCTCTTAAGTCCATGTGCAGACATCTTATAATGTTTCTTTCTCCTCCCCAGGAGCCTCCGTAGATGGTGATGGTAAAGATAGACCTTTGGTTTATTCCCTGCAAGGCTTACATGAACTGGAGACAGAAGACTGTGAGAAAACCAGTAATATGGGAACCCTCAACTCCTCTATGTTACACAGAAGTGCAAATTCCCTGAAAAGCCTTGTATCTGAGCAGGAAGAGGAGGTGGAGGAGAATGTTCCAGAAGAAGAGGAGGTGGCTTTACCAGAGGACAGACCCAAACCTCACGTCCCTGCCCTCAGGCGGACGCGTTCACAGTCTAGGCCTCAGCAAGTCAAATTCTCTGACGATGTGGTGGACAATGGCCATTATGGTGATCTCCCAGTGCGCCAGCCCCCTATGAGCGAACGGACTCGCCGGAGAGTGTACCACTTTGAGGAGCAGGGCCAAGAACTACACTCTGGACGCCACCATCACCACCACAGGAGGCGCCGCAGTCGCAAGTCTCGCTCCGACAATGCTCTTAACCTTCTGCCTAAGGAGAGGGCCCAAATGTGCTACAAAATGGACCACAGAGGGAACGCTCATGGCCCCAAGGGGCACCAAGCCTTCCATGGCCAACCCAGTCCTGCTGCTTTGTCAGACTATGGGCTACAAGGCCCTGCCATGGGGAGGTTCTTGGGGCTGTATGGGGATGATGATGACTGGTGCTCCACATGCTCTTCTTCATCTTCTGATTCTGAGGAGGAGGGCTTTTTCCTGGGTCAGCCCATCCCTCAGCCGAGGCCCCATAGACACTACTACACTGATGACTTGCCCAGCCCTGTGGTAGGCATTTCTTCCTCTCCTTATGGCCAACGGACTAAGTCCAAAAAGAAGAAAGGGCACAAAGGCAAAAACTGTATAATTTCGTAGACTTTCGTTACTCTCTTATACTTTGGGTAATGCTGTGCCATACACCTGCTTCTTGTCCACTGTTTAAAATGCATTAACAACTGCTTGCTAATAAGTGCTTCACAGCACTCAATTTACCAAGGTGTTTGTGTGAGACACAAGTCCTTATTCTAAATCTTCATAGGTCAACACTCCCCTAGCATTACAAAATGCCAGTAATAAAGTAAGTAAAGTATTTCAGAGTAATGCATATTTATAATACACCATCTAAACTGTGTTTATTTAACAGTGCAGATATTAATGTATATATTGTAGAATTAAAAAAACAAAATGGCTATTTTTATACCCTTGAGTTCATGACATGCTTTGTACCAAAATGGCGTAAAAATTTAACTATTGGCAATTGGTACAGAGATTTTTCCATGAGGGTGGGTGTCAGAAATGTAATGACAAATTGACGCTGACCCAAGCTCTTCAAATGTGTGTTCTTCCAGGCTTGTGCACCGCTAACATAAGACAAACACTAAGTGTATTAAAAGGCCTGGTTGAGTGGTGTATTTATGGTTCACTGTATCGTAAGCAAATCATTGTAATCTGTATAAATGTACAAACTGGAATATAAGGCTAAGATAGATGATAATTGTAATAAAAATATCTATATATCATGATTTGTGTTGTTCTTTCATGTGCAAATGTATTCAATGGATATAAAGAAACAAGAGGTGTCATCACTTAATTCATGGCCTTTTATTTACAAATAATCTAAAAGGAAATATTCACAAGTTGTTCAGTTAAACTCAACAAAAGACAAAAATGCATGATCTACACATAATTCAAATAATGATCTACACATCATCTCTATACAGAAAAGTTCTGCACTGCAAAACACCATGGAGAGTTGGACCCTTTGATACTAGTTTGAGAATACTTGTGTTAAACTTAGCATTATTTAGCCAGCCTCAGCTGCAAGAAATAAAGATGCTGGAAGAGCAGAACAATACACATCAGTACAACTGAGAAAATACTGTAATAGGAAAGTTGTATCATTTGACTCATTCTTTCTGCAAGGGCTCTTACCAGTAGGGTTCAACAATAAGAGCAAGCCTCTGCCACCAAGCCTGCTTTAATAATCAAACATTAACTTATGTCAATATAAAATGTCATCTGTAATCAAGTGAATGTAGTAATATTTGTCAGTTTTTCCACAACATGATTCATTTCATAGCTGGAATTATATATTGTGCATTTTTCTCAAGCAGACTGCTCCTTTCTCAAAATACTAAAAGGTATATTTCATTGTAACAACATATCCATTTCAACAATTATTTCATCTGGTATTGAGTCTTAAATCATATTTATGATGCAGGAAGTGAAAAATTGCCTGCATCAGATACTCTTTTTTTTTTTTTAAACCAATCACTGCTATTATTTGATTAAAGAACATGATCCAAATACAACAAGTAGAAAAAAATCTTTGGTTAAAAATTTGTTCAATTCTTCTAGTTAAATTTTCTGCTTATCTCAGAAATAAGATGATAAAATTCCATATTATTACTCTAGTGTTTTGTGACCTGTGGCGTCTGCTGAAGTGTCCGGCTGCTCTAATACTTCGTCCAGCTCCTTCACAAAGTGCCTGAGGTCATTTAGGCAGCGCTGTTTGATCTCAGACAGGTTCTCATCCAGCGGAGCCTGCAGCAGATTATCCAAACTGGGCTCCTTGGCCACCAACATTTTCACCACCGTGCGAAATGTCTCACAGTCCTGCCTGTAATGCTGCACATATAACAATCACGTCAGGAATTTTAATATTCATAATGATACAATGATATGTATATAGTGTGCAAATAAATCATGACATATTATAGGCTGGTCCATCTATAAAGTAAAGGGTTATTTAATCATTGAAGCTGAAAATAAACATTTGGTCTTTTCTGATCATAATCAAAAACAGGTTTGTCAATCAACTTGAGAGTGATGTTTCTTTCTTATGATTCACAAGAAATAGCAATAATTATGGCTTTCAACACACACACTCAAAACACACACACATTTTGCTCTTCACAATTCAACATTTGTTTGTTTGTCATGCAAGTTTGCAAATTACAACATCACACACCTCAAAGTATATTTTTTTATCCACATAGGTACTCGTATCAAAAATAAATTGTGTATTAAATGAAATTCTTAAGTAAGTGATATTATTTAAAATGCCCTCACAAACAAGTGAGCAGCTCCATCTGACAACTCTTTGAATTCTACAGACCTTGACTCTTGTATCAACGCCTGTGAACTTAATTAACCTAGTTCTGTTAAATTGCTATATTCCGGGAAACAGGTGTGTGGATGTGTGTAAGCGAGCCTATTCAAGTGCATGTCCACCAATAACAAAAGGAACATGAGGTGTCAGAGTATGTTAGTGGTGCTGTAGCATTCTTTCACACCCCATTGTAACAATCTCTCTCTCACATCCCTCACAGATTTTACTGCCGACCCAAAACGGCTGTAAAATTCTTTATTAGAGTCCCAGGTGCAAGCTCACAACATCTTTATCACCTGGGGAGAAAAGGCTAAATGTGGGGCCCTATACTGAAGCTGCCTAGAGGTTTAGGGCTACACTGGCCCGTCAAGGAGCAGTTTGGGACAACGGGATCCTCCAGAGTTGAGTTAATGCAGCCCAGATCACCTCTCCCCTCAAATTAGAGTCACTGGGGCAGACAGAATGTGTTGCTGTGGCTCAAAAACAACCACTCTGCTGTCCAATACAAGACATTGAATCCAATGCCAATCCAATTACCTCTACATATTACACAATGTCTACATACAAACAGACACATGTATGTAACCATTAAGGACATGTTCACCTCCAAAAACATTGTCATTATCATCTCTACTTAATAGGTTTTGTTTTGATTGGCTGCATGAAATCACTTGATCAGATGGAAACTAGTCACTCTTAGTCAATTTTACTCAAGTGTCAGGAAATAGAACCTAATTCTTCAAAGCAGTGACTTAATCAAACTGTTTATCTCCCATAGAGGTACTGTATATCTGCATCATGTTCAGCTCCATAGCCATCTCAGGGATTTTGGGCTGTGCAGGCCTTTGTAGTAGAACAAAAATGAGATGACAGTATCTCATCTAACATTAACTTGATGTTAAATGCAATAAAACATAAGCCATCAGCTTTGGTAATTTTGACAAGAAAAATGCTGCCTGTCAACTTAAATCAGTGTCCAGCCTTAAGCAGAATGTGAGGTTAAACGGCTTTATTCCAGGGTTCTGTCAGTTATGGTGAAATTTAAAACCACAACTGCTGTTTCTTAGCCGAGATACACATTATGTAATGTGTATCTAGGCAAACACATGATCATGTATCCATCAACTTGTGTAGTGATCACGAGAGCTTTTGCAAATTAATTGTACCACATTCACATGACTTAAATGTACTAGATGAAAAACTCTTGAGGGTTTTTCAGCGAAATAAGTGTCCCCAACATGGCAATACACTATATACGATCTACGGGAGTACGACCGCCATTACTGAGTGAGAAAGGAAAAAGAATCCAGTGCAGGACTGGGAGAAACAAGAAGTATGCCACTGTCAGTATCAAGATTGTTATTTCCATCAAAGCTGAGCTGGTTGGGACTTTGAACACACAGAAAAGGTCAAAAGAAACAAAAATACTATGGCATTCAGTTTGGAACAATGAGGCTGGAAACAATTCACTACATGAGAACCACTCACTGTGTTTTCAAGCCAAAGAAAGGTCCCATGCTTAAAAAGCAGAAGGCTGAGAGAGGCTACTGAGAACCTGCTGGCGATGAAAAACAACCCAGATGCACAATTTGTTGTGTGTGTCAGACTGGGACCAGAGACGGCTAAAGAAGGTGATGTGAAATTATAAAGTTACACACACAAAATCTAGTGGGAGAAAATGAAGGGTCTCTATTTTGTGCTCTACCTGATAATTACAATGATGTTAAAAAAAAACACTGCAATGCCTCCAGCTCCTACATGAGTTCAGTTCTTCTTCCCCTGATAATTCCCCTGCTGAACCAGCTACAGCATGTTCAGATAGCTGATTCTAACTTATCTATTCATTCCTGCATCCCTAACCCACATTCTGTGCGACAGTACATGAATTTAGAGTGCTGTCTGCACAAGGAAAAAAAATGTATCAAATGTTATGGTAGGGTAGAATATTATGACTATGAATATTAAAACAATACAGGTTATTATCGCTATATCACATGTACAAATGCATGGGGAGGGCAAGTCAAGAAGATTTAGACAGAAATATCCCAGACTGTGGGAGATGTTTGGACCCAGGCTGATGCTTTAACGTCTGCAGGTCATGTCAAGCGAATTCATGGCCCCACATAATGATAGTCCTCACCGCCGACCACAAGGAAGTGAGAGGCTCACGACACGTGTGGCCAGCTGAGCTCAGGGTCAACTTCTTTCAACAATACAGGTTTTCTTCTCTGTCTGTGCACAGTATTAGCTGTCCCATCTTGGTTGATTCTGAACCTTCTGTTACATAATCTATGTAATAACACACCATGATTTCAAGTGGATTCCTACACCCATACCTCTTAAAGTGCAGATTTCTCCTTTGTTAAATATTTTCGTTCAGTGAGCATTATTTGGGAGGAGCAAAAATTGGTTCCAGGTTTTAAGATGTGAGACGAAACAAGGGCTAAATGAGACACAAACATGTGGTGTATGTCCCACAAACCAGTACCCCTCTAATCACTTAGGGTTGATTATGTTTGCCATCTTTCAAAACAAAACCTTCCTAAGCTTTTCCCAAGCTACAGCCTTTGTTGACAGTGATTACATTTTCACTTCATTATATCCCATGTACACACTTTTACACACTTGAAAGCTTCGCAATAGGATGAGGAAAGGGTTGGAAAACGTGGCCTTACAATGAACTATGAACTCTATATTAAGATGGATGGACAGTGAACGATAAAGTGCGCACATGTACATGGCTATACGTGTAAATTTGTTTTAGATGAAGAGCATCACTCCACATTTATTACAGTACTAAACAATAGGAGACTGACTTCAAACAGCCAACTATTTTTGTAAAAGCTGCTCCCATGTTACTTGAACAAACAGGAAGGGTGCTTTTGACCTGAGCGTGCTCTTTATGCTGTGAGAAAAGGTTGCAGGGAGGTTCTGTCTAAGTTCACTCCCTAGAGTAGGAGCCATGAGCTGATCTTTAAGCCTGATACTAAGGGGCCACACAGGACGGGGCTGGAGCCACTAGGGGCCTTAAGAAGGAGCCTTAAAAAGTGGGCTTCTGCCCAAATCGGATGTTTGTGGAGGTCCAAATTGTGAACATACCGACAGGAGTGTGCGCCTGGATACGGTGTGGGGGTTGGGAAGTTAAGGGTTTGAGTGAGATTATGCATAAGGCACTCACATAGACATTTAGTGAGGCTCTCTTCAAATGAGCACTGATGCCGGCAGGGGTCCTGCATAATAAGGGAAGTAGAGTAATGACTTGAGGGCTGGTACACATTAGGGGATATTAAAAGAGCCATTTTAATCACTCAAGCTGCAAACCGGACCTCTCGATGGAGGGGCTAATAGTTGAAATGGATATGTTTCATTTGCACTGATTGAGATGATGAACGGACTCCTCTGAAAATCACTCCCAGGCACTTAGTTATGTTTTGAATGGATATTTTCTGAGTTCCTATTGTTGGAGATGCTTTTTTACCAGCGCTGATTTGTTCTGCGGTCCCTACAAAGAGCTCCACTGGTCCTCTGTTGCATCGGAAAAAAAGAAAATGAGATGATGTGATGAAGGCTTACAAAACGACACGTTGGTATTTATGCCTGTTATGAAATGATTTAGCATTTTGAAACATGTTATGACCAACAGTCTCATAAGCATGGATGTTTACTGTGTCAATGATTGTGTTTGAGGTTTCTGATTTCCTTTATAACCTTGAAACACCCACAGAGAGTATGCATTACAAGCTCTTGGCTGAAAAAAACAATGAGCTTTGCTGGTGTGACAAATCCATTTCCTATGGAACACGGTTGTATACACAGTATCAAGACCTTGCTGAAAAATAGGAAAATTAGGAGAGACAAAAAATAAAACAAGGATGTCGTAGTTCCGTTTGTTGTGAATGTAACAGGCTTGTTTTTTGCAGCTCCTTCAAACAAGTTTAAGGAGATCTGAGGTCCAGCTCTGCCCACTACAGATCTGCTCAGTTTGTCAATCCACCGTAGTGACGGATCAGTGTGTGTTTAACTGAGCCCAGGGCAGATGTTACAGTAAAGACACTGTAGAGGTTTTGGTTTCTCTCACCACGTCTGTAGAAGCAGTTGGAAATGGCAGGGTAAGCATGTGTCTTATGCCAGGAGACGTACCACACTGTGGGTGGGCCGCCTGCATCCTGCAGGGCAATTCCTGCCCTGCTTTAACGGGAACAGATAAGTGGTACTGTAGCGGAGAGCGATGAAGGGGAGGGAAAGGAGTGCGACTCCAAATAGCAGGCCACAAGATGCGTCAAAACCTGAGGTGCTAAGGACTGTTCTGCTGATTCATCCTCCTTCTTTACACCAGCAAGTACTTCATCGGATACAATACTGTCAGCGACATTATACAGCTAGTGTAAAATCACTGACTGGATACATGACCCACCTCGATATCAGGGTAGAGCTCACACATGTAACAAGGGGCACCTACACAATAAGGTGAACCCAATAAGGACCTCAGTCTGTTGTGGCTACAACTTTCCAGCTGCAGTGTACAAAACAGATTTTTTTTTTTTTTAAAAACAAGTAAAATAAACAATGCGGTTCAGAATCTGCGACACTCAGTGCTGTAGTAGGGCACCACTTTAATCTCTCAACATCTGCCCACTGACACCCTCCCTGACCTGTGCTCATGTCGTGTGTAATCACTGTGACTCTGGATATTCGGGGTCATCAAGGCCAATAAGGGGTCAGCCTCATGTTAGAATAAAAAGGCTGAACACAAAATAAATGTCATAATAAGAAAATGCTAATAAAGTCAGTCCACAGTCTCCCTTATTTGTGTTTCTCTAGTTTCAAGACTGTTTTCAATATGAACATCAGTATCCTGAAACAAGACAGAACAAAGCAGATTGCTCCTTTATTATTAGGAAAATAATGTAAAGGTTTGTCATGGAAAAAAGAAAATCAATCTCCCCTCATTGGCAGATTTTCTCAGTTGTTTTAAGAACAGAAATAGCCGATACTTGGTTAAATAAAGCTATATTATAGCAGAAGCAACGAGTCAAGAGAATTCATGGATTTTCATGGATCAAATCTACCTTCTCAATTTCCAGAGCCTTAGCCTTAATGGCTTCCAACCGGCGAGTCTTGAAGTCTTCCTTTGGTGTCGGCTTTGGCTCCATGCTGGCAGCCACCACCTCCTCTGACTCCACTACAGAGGCAGGAGTTTTTTCCTGGCGGGCCAAAGGTTAAGGGTTAGAGCTGAGGTCACCAGGTTTAGAAACTGGTTCTGATTTCAAAGTGTTTCAAATAGAGACAACTCTGCTCTCTTACGGGTGTTGAGTTCTTGTTTTCGTACACGTCTCATTATGCATGCCACATGTCAACAGTAAACAGACATGGAGGTGCCAAATACAGTACATCTATCTGATTAAAGGACCCTTACAGCCAAAGATCAAAGTGAAGACCCAGTGAAAACAAATGCATTAGTTACACTTGCAATGAACGGAAACATAAACTAAATGTCCATGAAATGTTATTTAAGTCTTTACAGCAACATACTGGTGTTTTTGGCCCACTGACTACAAATAATGTATTTTATCTTTATATGTTAAAGTTAAATTATCACTGCATAATAATGCACATGTAAACAGTGTTTGGAAAAAGGATAATTAATGCAATAATATAAACCTGTGCGTGGTGTGATGACTTCATGTCTTGTCGTCTCGTGTTCTTTTTGTTTTATATCAGCACTTAATAGTATTTATGGTTATCCTGTTCTAGCTGCTGCATTCTCAGGTTTGTGCAGGTGGGTTGTGATTCATCATAGACTACATAAAAATGTCATGAATATTTCATTGTTAAATATCCATGTCAAGCTACACGAAATCAGAGACTATAATGAACACGAACAGAATGCCCTTTGTGTGGGCCATAACAATTAGGTGAATTAGACAAACTATTACTCTTTGTAATTGCAGTATATTGATATTCCATCACACCTCTACACAACTCACATTAACTGAGAAATTTTTTCCCAGCCCTTAGATTAGGTGCAAGAATACAATAAGGAAGATGCTACTGTATTTTATTTTTCTCATGCAACATGTTTCTTGTCAGAGCATTACTAGCTCTTTTACCTTTGAAGACCCTGAGCTGTGAGGAGACCCCTCCACAGAGCTGCTGGGAGTGTGACTTGTCAGCACACTTGGCTTTTCTACAGACAAAATATTAAGAAAGAAGGAAATAGAACGGTGAGCAAACAGGCAGAAAATCATCCTCATTATCACGGAAAACACAAAGTTCTGACAAAGCAAAGACACCCATAAAAACAGGGCGATCTAAAGAATACATGAGGGTTACCATAGCATTCTTTTATTTAATTTTGCACAGTACTAAAATAAACCCCAGGGGAGCATCCTGGTGGGTCGGGGGTCTGGGACGATTGCCACGTGAACTGCAGCATCCCTGTTTCAAATCTGGATGGGAACCTGAGTTGTATTTTATTCCCCTCTCTCTACACACACTCCTTAACTCTCTGCAAAAATGCCATAACATAAGAATTTTAAAAATACAACAGGGAACAATTACTTTCTACTGTGAGACATTAAATAATCAGTCACTTATATTGTGAACAATCGTGACACCAAGGCATTAAGAGGCAGCCGAAAAGTATAAATCATTGTTTTGTTTTTTTTAATACTCCCTTGTTGGAGCCTCCCACACAATAGTGGCCGAGGAGTTCAGCTGTGCCTAAATTGAAATATTGTACTCTGCTGGCTCCAATGTGTCTAGAACAAAATAAATATAGTCAAGTTATTTGTTTTTATTGAAGGAATCTCCCATTGTTATTAGAGTGAGCCAAGGTAAAACATCTTAATTGAAGTCCCTCAGTGGGACTATGGAGTATACACACAAACAACAGTGTTCAGGCTGGGGCGTGCTTAAAACAAACTTTTCAATATGACATCGTGTCAAAAGGCAAGTTTTTATAGCTATTTTGAATGGCCACAGTTGGCATGCCATCAAACAGAGGAGACTGATGCAATAATTATCAGTGCACGCAGTCAGACAGCCTCTCCTTGAAGGTTATTCATTGTGTTGACCTTATTTGTACACACAACTGAAAGTGGTCATGAGCAGGATAGTTCTTACCTCTGCACATTCGGCCAAATGCTGTATAAAATGGGTTTTGCTTCTCAGATTGTCAGTTTCACTTACAACAAGACAAGGTCAAAACCTAGCATATGGCCGGACCGCGTATGGTCAATGTGCGAAATTAAAGATGTAGTTGAAAACTGTGGGCGAAACATCGCTGATTGATCATGTATGGAAGCATTTTCCACATCACTGTTATACAACTGACAATAATCAGGATGGAGCAGCCCAACAGATTTTACAACCAACGGACTGACACTGAAGTCTCGGCTTTGTTGTCCATTTTTGCTTTATCTGTCATCATCACATGTAACAACTGACTTAACAGGCAACCAATTTCCTTTTGATATGTCAGTGGACTTATTTTGCTTAATGTTCCCGGGGCTTTGGCCATGCTCAGAAAAATGCGCAGGAGGAACTTTTAGCCCTGAGAAAGTTCCTGGACATTACTCAGTAGTTCCTGGAGACACACTTTAAGTGGAACTCCACAATGTAGAAACCAGTTTTCATAGCTGGAGTCCAGTCCACCAAGTTTCAAACGGCCCTTCAAACGCACCCTACACCAAGCCTTGCGGATGGCGGCATACATGGCAACAGACCTAATCTTATTCACTAATAATAGTCATCATCAATCAAGATTTGTAAAAAGACATTGTAAAGATCCTCCCTGTGTATGACAAAGCCTGGTACACACACCCTATCACCAAACCCCTATTTTTGTGTACTTTGCTCTGCTGCCCTAATTAGTGTCCCAGATGTATGTGGAGCTGGGAGGTACAACTGTTTTATTGCATCTTCAAAGGGTGGTACCACATAGAGCTAAGTTTTCAAGACATTAATATGTTTATGCATCTTGGAAACCAAAGCACTGGAGAAATTACTGTCCACACTTCTTTCCCTCAGACTGAATTCATAAATTTCATTAGCTCAGCATTGTTAATTAAAGTTCTGAAGCCTGTGAAAGTCACAAAAGAGAGCGTGTAAAATGACAGACCCAAAGTGATTCTGAAGACATTGTTAAGCCAGCACATGAACCACTTTCTCACTAAGGAAAAGGTCAGGTTCTGAACCCAAAGCCAAACCACCCCAATAAACCAAGGGTATCCTTTTTCCCAGCCTCTAAAAATACGTGGTGTTAGTGTAATTAACATCTTAACGTGTTTCAGCATACCCTGGCCCCTCACACTACACCTCTGAAAACAGATGCTTCACCTGGAATGGCTTAATTCCTTTACACATTGTAATTATACATATGTTTCTTTAAAATGGGAAAATGACAGCAGGTATAACACCTGCAAGAACAAACGTTTTAGATAAAGGTTTACAAATTCAAAACTCTACTGGCTACTTGCTCTCCCATTAATCTATGCTCCTTCAGCTTTTTCATGCTGTGGCCAATCACAGAGTGTCAGGTATTTCAGAGTGGAGCTTTGTAACTGGACGTCATACTATCCACTAGGGCAGCAGGTCAAGCAGCTAGGCAGCTATTACTGCGTAGTTGTGCGCAAAAGATTTGAAAGCAAAGGTGGACAATAGAGCAGGAAAATGCCCTGACGGATTTGAAAAGGTGATGAGTTTGACCTTTTCTCTGCCTGATCAACATTAGATGAAGATGATAGAAGGATTGCCAAAATATCTAAGGCATAACAGTTTTATGACAACAAACGGAACAGCTCAATATTTGCTATGTAAATTTAGATGGTGTTACATGTACATTTAACGGCTGTGGCTCACGAAGTAGAGCGGGTCGTTAACTAATCAGACAGGCGGTGGTTCGATCCCCATCTCCTCCAGTCTGCGTGTCGAAGTGTCTCTGGGCAATACACTGAACCCCAAATTGCCCATGATGGCTGCTCCATCAGTGTATGGGTGTGATGTATGTATGTGTGTGTGAATGGGTGAATATGGCATGTATTGTAAAGCGCTTTGAGTCTCTAAGACTAGAAAAGTGCTATATAAGTGCACCGCATTTACCCATTAGTACTGGTGTGCTGGGCCCTTTTTTGTAATTGAGACATAATACTTACGCCTCTGCTGGGTTGAGCCTTTGTCCCTTTCAGGGGAGAAACTCTTGTTGCTGGTATTTGACCCAGAGCGCCCATGTACAGGTGGTTGGGCTTCTCTCCTTCCGGTGGGAGGAGGTGAGCGGTCACACATGATTACAACAGGCGGAGAGATCCTGTAGTCATCATGGTCTTCTCTACGGAAATAAGCAACAATCAAAGCGTAAGATACAATAGAAGACCTGTGGGCATGCGACAGGTTGTTGGTAAACATAATGTTTCCCGTTATGAAAAGCTTTCACACCGGACATTAATTTCTATCAGTACAATTTAAGAGTGGGCAGTAAATTGTGCATTTGAATATCAATTAATATAATAACATGTAGAATAGCAATGCTCTTTATAGACCAAAATGATCAATTCTGAATGGAATATCACCCCTTCCATCAAAAACTAGACAACTGATTTCCAACCCTGCCTACTTCCAGAGCTGGCGGTTTATTTACTGTATAGTATAAAACCATATGAATGTGAGGTGACTGACTTGGCTTTTTTGTCCAGCACTGGCCTCCGAGGAGGGCCTGACCCTCGACCTCTGCTGCGGTAATAAGGGATAGGTCTGCCATTGTTCCTGAAAAACATCAAAAATACAGATTGAAAATAATATTGGCTCGCAAAGCTGCTCTGTAAACAAAGGTCGAGGCAAAACATGATAAACAAATCAAGAGTATAATGAGTGCAAATTCAGAATGCATCATTGTCATCACTTACTGGTTTAAGAAGCAGAAGTATTTGTTAGTGTACGCTTTTGAATGGGTAATGGAAACAGAATAAATAGAAGGCAAAACCACAAAGACTTAAATTCAGACTCAGCAGGGCACTGTGGCACACTGATCAATTTGTGGAATGGAGGCAATCTTCCACTTTGCCACGAGCCACAGTTGGCTGACCGATTTTGGTCTTCTTTCACTACTATCTATCTTCAATTGTAGGCATAGCCATGAACAAGCTAAATATGGAGCTGACGTTAGAACACACTGCTACCTTCAACCATGTAATGTAATGACCAATTTCTGAGCAATTATCTAAAGTAAGTGGTGAAATTTCACTGTTCACTGCACCTCGTTTTTATGATTTTCCAGACTCAAAGAAAAGCCTGTGTCTGAACAGCAACCTTTAGGTCCAGAGGTATAAATGACCCAAAGGCACCTGGTTGTCACGACCTCTGCCTGAACTCGAGCCACATCTCAAACAAAGAGCAGGTCTAACAAGACCTAAAACTTTTACGACTCATGGTGTGTTTGAAGTAGCCAAGACTCAACCTGCCATTTGCCAAACACTGAATTGCCATCCGTGCAGTAAAAAACGAACATCAAAAGGCTAGGGTACAGAAAAAAAGTGGTGTACTTTATTTAGGAAAAAAGAACTCTATAGAAGGTAAATCAAGCTTTTATCAGGCAGACATTCAACCAGAAGTTCCAAACATTTAAAAGGTCAGGCCTTATTGCCAAGGCAGAAATTTTCCATATGAAGAATTCTCTTGACGCTGGCAGTCATCAAACTAAGAAATGAAAATGCCAATGCAATAATTTGCAGAGTCATGAAGCCTAAAAATAACTGTGCATCCTTAGAGATAAAACAAACTAATAATAACAACTGCTAATATTTGCATCTTCCTTCCCTTTGATTTCTTTGATGACTAGACACAGCACAAAAAACAACCAAGATTCAATTAACTGGATGAATTTATAAAGGCACTGCACAAACACAAGAAAACGCTTAATTTACCACGGTAGCTTGAGACTGTTTATTAAGACAGTGACTCATAACTTGGGGCTGTACGTCAGGCTGTTAAGTCTTTTCATGATCTGTGGGCAAAACCTCCTCAAGGGTGCAAGAAAAGTGATTCAAGTGTGTGTGACTAAGACTTTGCAGTAAACTTTATGACCTTGACGCACTGCTTGTGTTTATGCCACAATGCTAAAGTTTGCTTTATAGCTGTATGGTAAAGGGTCATAGCGTAGCTACTGAAACTGTACATGTAGCCGCTGAGGATACGCCATTCGTCCCAATTAGTGTGTGTCCTTGCATGGGCTTAGAGAGCCTGGTATGACTGGTCTCATGCTAGGGTTAAAAGTGTCATTTTATATTTGCCCCCTTGTCTACATGGCCACTGAAGTGCCTTGTGCAAAAATGAATCCTACAGACAGACATCCTGCTTTGTTGTCTGGGAGATGGGACAGATATGGGAGAGACAATCAGCTGCCTCTTGACAGGAGAAGTTGAAGCATAAACTTTTTTTTTTTAAACATATGTTAGGGTCAGAAGAGATGCAACTTGAGCCTGACAAGTTGTCATTCAATGTCACTACCATGTACACTGCCAAGACCTAAAACATTATGATAAATCAAAAATCAACAGGGTTGAGCTGTTGTCCATGTTGAATGTGTCACAAACACTTCAATTAAATGTGATCACCACCTCAGAATAACCACCAACGCATGTGCAAAATTGTTCACAGGTGGCAGAATATAAATCTTGACAGTGTGTTTATGGTTCCAGAAGAATCCAGGAATCACAGTACCTATCGTATATCATGGGCCTAAATTTGCACTTTAGGTAGACTAAATGCTTTTTAATTGTAAGCATGTTTTCACCCTTTAAATAATTTGGCCAATATGTACCTCAGCTGCTATACAGCAGATGGATTTTAAGTTAATTTCGAACTTTGCAAATTCTTGTAATTACTGGTAAATTTATAAACCTTAAAATATCTGACACAAATTTGAATGTCATGCAAAAATGATGTAAAACAAAAAACGAAAAAAAAACAACAACATATAAACTGCTCAGAAAATCTGAGATGTGAGTGGGTGTCTGACTGAAGGAGGAGTGGTCCAGCTGTTTTTCCTCTCAGGGTGGGGTAGAGGGTGGGGGGTGGGTTGTTTGGCTGAGTGAGTAGACACTAGTGCCCTTTGTCCCTCTCTCTAGCCTGGTATGACTCCTGGAAAAAGGGGGCCTGGGCCCGTAAACTGTTGGTGTGTTGAAGTGGCCAGGGCGAAAAGAGTGTGTGTTGATGTAGGAGTTAGAACTGCTGGACTTAGCTGCTCTGTGTGGGGTTAAGCTCTTAAACTTACCTTAAGAGCAGTGTGGTCACAGATAATTGAGATATGCTTCCTAAATCTATTTTCCAAAGCAGAACTTTGTTTGCAACAATTTATACTGATTGATCGATTGATTGATTCTTATATTGTCTTGGGTGGAATGTAAAGGGAAAGTATTTATAATTTAAGTGGTTTTATGCTTATTGTGGTTAACCCTTTTTATTTCCATGATATTACATGGAAAGAAAGACACATGCTATAAAGGTCAATAAATCAAGCTAATAATATTCTCTTTTCAATACACAGAACTCTGCCTCCACCTACAGGTCAGTTTGATGCATTACACAAATAATTCAGTGAAGCAACTGACTATCTGAAATTAACAGGATGGGACAAACAAAAATAAATTAATTAACAAATTTCAAACATTTTAAAAAAGAAGACTCTAGATAAATTACCTTGAGTCTAATTGATGCCTCAAATCATCTCTGCCATAACACTGTTGGGAGTACGGGCCCTCCTGAAAACAAAAATCACAATTACAACATTAATTGGGAAATGCTAGTGCATTATTGGGAACTACAAAAAGCCAACAAGAACCTAATTAAACTAATGCAATAAAACTAATGCCATTCTGTTGTTAACTTTCTGAGATACTTTGGTTGGAGTCATACACATCAGTATGCCATTTCTTGATGTTTGTATTTGATCAGCTAAAAATGATCAGATTATACATCACTAAAACACACACTTTGGCTATAGTACTATGATTTTTTTAAGACAAAACAGAATTTAGTTGAGAAAACATGCATACCACAGGTTTCTTACATTTCTTGGGGGTGGGGGTGGGGGTGGGGAATTTCTGCGAAAGTTGCCAAAGATGGGGTTTTCGTCAAAGTATCGACGATCGTTGGGCGGGTAACTGCTTTCATCGTGACATTCTCTTGCATCCTGGTAATTTCGAGGACCACCATACCACTGGTCATCATTAAAACCTCTGTCATATTCCAACCCCGGCCGAGGCATAGAGCTCCTCCTTTCAACAATATTGACAACTCGATGAACTTTCACCTGCGAGGACACATTACATTTCACTCTGTAAGCATCACTACCCAGTACAAGAGTGAATCCAAATAGGAACAACTCTTAAAATAATAATGAATTATAAGTGCGACAGGTGGTGTAGACTGCATCTCCCTAATTCAGACACTGAACGTAAATTGTTTGAAGATTGAACTGTTCCTGACACAAGATTAAATTTGTAGACATGGAATGTTTGTAAGTATCATCATTAAAGTCATTCGATAATCAATCAAATACAATTTTTTCTACAGTCTAAGGGTCTCAAAGACTAGCTTGGTTCATGTTATTTGAGAACACAAATAATATATTTTTTTTAATGTATTTTAGCCAGACAAATTTAATTACAACAGTGTGCACAGCATTAGTCATTATTATACATACAATATACATACAGCATTATACATAATGTGATTTTAAAAAAAAGTGTCTTGAGAGGTGATTACAACATCAATATCATCCTAAACAGTAACTTACAAAAGAACAAAAAGTGACTGAAAATAGCACTACACCTACCGCAGTCATAGGAGGCAAATCTCAAGACTGCAACTTAAGGAACAACAATAACAGTGTCTGGATACTGATAACTAATCAGTTCTTTTCACTGATTACCAAGGTCCTTAGTCAAACTAATTCATATTTGCCATCTAAAACAAAATCTTTACTTACCTCTCTTATATCAATCGGCGTGAAGTGCTCTTCATACGCTTCTCTAATTGATTTTCGACTGTGTCGATAAGCCACTGCGAAAAAACAAAACTTTTATTCAAACATTTGATATGGACAGGAAGTGGATTGAATAGACAGGATTAGTGGGGTGAAGACCCCACAACACTGTTCTATAAAATTATTTTCACTTACTGTTGAAGGAATGATGTTGGTTCTGTGTGGTAAGGTTAAGGTATCTCAGTACAGAGAACCTATGAGAATGACAGTAAACAGCCTTGTTTAAGATAAGAAAAGATAAGATAGTCCGAACGTATAAGCATATTCGCCCCCCCCCCTAGATCACACACATACCAAAAGACCTTTGTAACATACATGACCTCTGACCTCAGTTCAACAACATTCAACACCACCTCCAACTATGAGTTATTTCCAGTCATGGAGCACTGCTACTCCGCTTTCCTTCTTTTAACTGGAAATATTGAGTGTATCACAGTATCTGAAATGCGCTGGGGAATGTGAACAGTCCGCATGAGTGACACCAATGTGACTTTACACATTAGAGCCACTGCTATCAGATGGCGATAAGTGACTTTGTGTTTTTGCTGAAATGTATGATGTTATGACTGGACTAGAAAGCTGCGTTTGAACTGTTGTTAGCAAACCTGGCTAGTTAGCATCGTAGCAAAAGATGAAGTCGTAAGAAACTCACTCACCAAATAATAATGTGAACACTGCTGGCCACAAAGTGCGTTTTACATGTTTCACATAAAAAGGAAACTTCACCTAAAGCCAATTTACACTGCAGCACAGAGCTTTCTCGTCGCGTAGCCTACATGTGCAAGTAAAAGCAAAACAACCGTAGATGCAGTGGTTCTTCTGCTTCTTCTTCTTCTTCTTCTTCTTCTTTGGTGCGGCACACTAAATGCTGCCCTCCTCAGTCTGAACAACATCATTGGTACAAACCTACAGTCTATGCACAAACCAGCGGTATGGATCAATTCCAGCAGCTTTTATAGGCCTCAGTCGGACCGCACAGACATTTCCCATCAGGATGCTTTTTCATCACGACCAGCCCACTGCCCACAGTGGCATACCTCAGAATCAATTAACCCCAACCCTAACTATGCTCTTCTTTACCCAGAGGTTGTGCCAAACCTCCTTCACTGTAGGTATGTGATATGTATGTGATACTTATAGTTGTGTAGCATAGTAGGTCAAGCAAGTTATTCAAACAACAAAATGAGAACTTATTAACATATTATTAACGGACCAATTAATAAAACCAGCTCTTACTATCAACATTTCACTATTACCATATTGTTTTCTCTACATCTGTGCTATTTTGAGTTTGACATCAGCATCATCTAATAGCTACTCAAACTCTATGTGTAAGTTCCTTATACCATAACAAGTCTGCAGCTGCAAACAGTTTATAAATGGATTTTGGTCCAGGGTCCAAGATAAGTAATCAAATAGTCCATTGGAGAGGTCTCCCTATTGAATTAAAGAGCTAAAAAGACAAATAAAATGTTGTGTTGGAAGAAGGTTTTTCACAACCTGGCAACCAAAAAGTTGTTCTGGCTAATATCCGTGAAGCATTAGTAAATGATTTATCACAAAGCTGTACCAATACTTAGTTGTATTTCATTAATTCCTCAAACATAAAATGTGATTTTAAAAAAACTAAACCAGAAAAATCACTATATGTCTATCCTGTGCCAAATCACATTCTACATATATTTTTACTAATTAGGTCATTTCTCGTGTTTGTTATTTGCAGTGCTGGTTTTTAAACAGAATTTATGTACGTTTTACGTCCCTATTAAAGTGTCTTAGACGACGCACTTCATACTCATACTATGCTGTATGTTTTACAAAGCGGCTTTCATCAATGTTGTGTCACAGTTATAACTGCCCTCTGTTGTGATTACATTAGAAGTGATTGGGTGAGCCCCTGTCACGTGGCCATCCTTCGACAGGAGTTTCCACGACAGCTGAGTAGCAGCTAAATGCGTTTTTTTCACCTGTAACATTGAACCTTTTCAACTCCACTGAGTCGAAGTTTCGTAAAATGGGAGACAAGAAGAGTCCCACAAGGTAAAAGCGTCGCTGGTATCTTTGAATGAAGACTCCACTGGGTCGTTTGAAAACAGAGAGCTCGGTCAATGGATGGAGCTGTTTTACTGAAGTGTTCATGGCGGCTGGCTGCTGGTTTAATACGGGGCACTGTGTAAACTGAAAGCTCCCTTCTCAGTGACTGACTTCTGAGCAGAAAATGCTTCCTGTTGTGGCGTTTCTTTTCCGTTCGGGTCATCTTTATCAAACAGGTTGTCTTTGAAATTACTGTTGTCATTGAAAACGTGCCGCTATCACTGTGTTTTTGTTTTGTTTTTGTCTGAAGGCCAAAGCGGCAATCTAAGCCATCCTCCGACGATGGGTACTGGGACTGTAGCGTCTGCACGTTCAGGAACAGCGCTGAGGCGTTCAAGTGCATGATGTGTGATGTCAGGAAGGGGACGTCAACACGGTAAGAGTGACTGTAGCCGTACATTTTTAACCATCAAACCAATGCTCAAGTGTTTAATCAGCTTCAGCTGTGTGTAGCCTGCATTCACGAAGTCATTTTATGCTAAGGAAATGCGAGGCTTAACTGCATGATTTAAAAAAAAAAAAAGGACATTCATTATTAGAAACACCTATCTGTTGCAACAGTCCTGCAATACATCCTATGGCAAGGTTGTAATGTTCGGGTTTTTGTTTAAACTGTTCGAGAGTTTCTGATTTAGCTTCACGAAGACTAATCTTTGGTCAGGGCCAAATCTACAAGTGAGGACACCGAGACCATGTCCTTAAGTATTTTTTCTGTGAATTTGAGAGGGATTCTGCAAATTCGACAACTTCTGAGAGCTACAAAAAGAAAAGATTCAGTGTTTTCACAAGCTTTCGACCTTTACAAGTTCATGTTGTGAGAAAATGCACAAAATACAGCCAACAGTTGACTGAATAAATATAGTCTGGGGTGAAAAGTCTTTTTGAAAATTTTTTTGTTTTTTGTGTCTGGTCAAAATTGAAGGTTGTTGTGGGGAGTATTTTTGCCCTGTTTGTTATATTTTTAAATTGTATTGCATTATACTGAGGTGATATATCAATGGGGGTAGGGGAGACTAATTATTAGAAACACTTGTCTGTATAATGCAATAGAGCACCACAAACTACAGCTTCCAACATGACCATGGACTTAAATCAATACCTCTCTAAAAAAAGTTTCAACAAAACCTAACATGTGAACTTTCATAAAGTAGGATTTATTGCAGGTCTCCTGCATTAGACTGTATTAGTTTTAGCTAGGTGGACCCAATGAACTGGCAACTGAGTGTTTGTTTGGGTGCTTTAGCCGAAGTTGTGACTGAGAGTAAGCCAAGCTACAAATTTACAAAAAATGTATCAATTACATTAAATAGCATAATATATCATAACATAATTTCAATAATCCAAGTGATTTTTGCTGATACAGGTACTTGTCGAGCGTGTGAAAATGATTAATGGCTGGAAATCTACCCACAAATTTCTTTATCAATACATCATAGAGTCTATTTAAAGCTACTGGTCAGAGGATTGCTTAGACACACGAGGAAATGTTTATTTTTGAAAGAGGAAAAAGTGTCTGAAAGCATTTCTTATCAAGGGGAGTCATGAAATACCTCTATATTCTAATTCCTGGCCAGTTTGACTGCACTGTTGTGTTGTGTTGTGAATTTCTCAAAAGACCACATACTTGATCACTGTTTTCTATGTATGCAGAGTAGTCTTGAGTGACCATAGACAGTATATGCACTGAACTGCTGAGCAACAGTGTGGTAATGGTATCTTTCACCAAAACTGAAGGCCATCACTCTAAAACTTTTCACCAATGCTTCTGAAATAGAAAGGGAAAGGAACTTGGAAAAGATTAAACATTAAAATGATGAAAGCAGGGGAAGCAAAAGAGGGAAAAAATGTGACTGCTTCAGTATTATAGTGTCATATGTTGGGTTTTCCATGAAGATTGTAACTGTCAAGTCGCAGTGCAACCGATACCATACAGGTTTTTCTAGACTGTGACATGCATGTATTGCAAATTACAAACATAAAGCATGGCAAACCTGAATTTGAGACTAGGTGTTTCTTTCAGTTCCATTTCTGGGACCTGCAGCCAGCAGGATTAAATGACCATTGTTTTCCGGATCATGTAAAGAAGCAGATAGTGTTAGTCTTACATATAGTCAGATCTACAATATTAATACCCTGACCTTTCTGCATTGCTAGTGCGTGAGAAAAGTCAGGCTGAATGCCAATTTCTTAAGGAATTTTTGTATGTACCTCAACACCTGTCCGAGTCATAGTTCGATGGAGAGGTTCACACATTTTCAAGTCTTAAAATGGTAAACAAGGATCAATGTTCAACAGGTTTTGCCTGCTGTAATCCTTCATCCTGTTCAGACTGGCTTTGAAGAGATCCCTTCTTTATATACTTCCACTAAAAGAGATGGAGTACAAAATCCATAGTCCTAGTTCTATTATGAGGCTTATACCCTCTTGATATAACCCAGACTGCTGAAGATTCATATTAACTTCAGATAAACTTCAGAATTTATTTTTACACAGAATGAGGACTGTAGATTTTGTGCCTAATCACATACATTGGAATCAAATTAAGAGGGGTGATCTCTTCATGGCCAGGAGGAATGATGATTGAAAGCAAAACCTGTTTCGGTTTACATATGGGCACCTGGCTACTACTTTAAGACAGTACTGACAAACTGTAAACCTATACTTTAACGTTGTGTCAATTTTTTAATTTTAAATGATTGTTGTAAGCAACCTGCTTCTCCTGCTTATATTACTTACACAGTTTAGCAGTGTAAACCACATGCTCACCCTATTTACAGGGGCCAATAAGGCCACTAACTTTCTTTTTATGTCTCTTTCAGAAAGCCGCGACCTGTTTCTCAGCTGGTTGCACAGCAAGTAAATCAGCAGTTTGCACCACCGGCACACCTCAAAAAGGAGAAGAAAGAAAAATCAGAGAAAGACAAAAGTGATAAAGAACCAACACTGAAAAAGAAAAGCCATAAAAAGATGAGGTAATTAATTCATGTTTTCAAAAAATAGTAGAATAGCTCATCATATTCTTGTGTCCACCAGTCAGTTTTCAAACCTGTTTTGTGTATGTTTCTCTCTTCACCAGGCCCAGGTTAAAAAACATAGACAGGAGCAGCGCCCAGCATCTAGAGGTCACAGTTGGAGACTTGACTGTAATAATCACAGACTTTAAGGAGAAAGCCAAACCCACATCCACTTCAACAAGTGCTGCCTCAGCAGACCAACACAGTCAAAGTGGCTCAAGCTCTGATAACACTGAACGAGGGGTCTCCAGATGCTCTTCGCCCCGTGGAGAAGGCTCGTCGGTGAACGGAGAGACTCACTAACCTTCACACTCCCAGTCAGCACAACTCATCCTTCTGCACTCTCAACAGCCTCAACCAGAGATTAAACTACAACATGCACATTTTTTAAAAATAATACTATAAATGCCGGTATGATAGCATTCACTTCATTTGGGGTTGTATTTTTTCACTGCCTTCCCATAATGATAAATACTTCAGGAGTCAGGACGTCAGAACTGTTTCAGCAAAACCTATTATGATGAACTGAAAAGAGCAACAGTAGCATTAAATCCTGGATGTCAGTGGAACTGTGCCACACGTTGTGGTGACTTGTCTTTCAACAACTCAGTGTTACGTCAGTGTCGCGCTCAGTTGGTCGTTGCTGCACAGAATAAATGATGCCATATGAAAGAAAATGTGAAGAAGTCATCTCAGAATTGTAGATTATCATTGAATTTTGTTATCGTTATTTGCACTTAATGGCATCCTATGTTCATGATAACATTTTTTAGCATTATTTCCACTTTGCCGTTAGCAGTGAATCATAACACTGTCGGTCACTGGCCTTATCCAGCTCTCATTTTATGCCATTGGATGCAATAATTTTTTTTCACTGTCTTAACATTTGAGTAAAAATATTGAACAGTTATTCTAAGTATGCTTCTCCTTCACTTGGTAGAGTTGAGCATGATTTAATCTATAGAATGGTTTATATTGTACAATAATGTTGAATAAAATGAGATGTAGATACTTGGATATGTTTTTAAAATTTTCATTATAAACAGGAGCAGTTTGCAAAAACATGGATTTCTTATAAGTTTTCCATATTATGATTGTATGTTGAATTTGTTAACCTATTTTAACATCATGACTGATATGTTCCTTAAAGGCAAGGCATGACAAGGCTACAGACTTGGGATTTAACTTGTTCAGATCAATCAATAAGTTGCACACTCTTCACTGTACTGTATGTGTTTTGTTATTACCCTCAAACATTCTTTATACTTGTTGCACTTGGGGGAAAAAAACTGCAAATCGTGTCTTAAAGGTCCTAAAAGCAGTGATGGAAAGTAACATATTACATTTACTTATGTACTGTTCATAAGTACAACTTTGTATTGTAGCATGCTACTTAATACTTCTACCTGACTGCATTTTAAAGGGAAATATTGTACTATTTAATCCATTTATTTGACAGATGGGTGCTTTGCATACTGAGATTTTACAAACAAAACGTGATCAGTTTATAAAAAATTATGTATTGATATGGATTAAACAAGTCAGCTACAACATTAAATGCTGCTTAACCATCCATTATTACAATCCAGAGAAAATTTACTTTTGAAAGTTAACTAACTTTCGTACTCTAGAACTTTTACTTGTGGCAGGGTATTTTCTACATTGTGATATTGGTGAGTAAGTAAAGGTTCTGAGTACTGCACCACTACATCTGAAAAGTAATGAAAAAAAAACAAAGGGAGAAGTGTAAGTTACAGTGAAAAACATATTGTTAACTTAGTCACAATTTTTGAGATCTTGTCTGGATGTTGTGTCAGTATTCACACAACTTCACCAATCCTAATTTGAAACCACTAAGTCAAGGAGGTTATGATACCATCACGTCTACCACAGTGTTTGTAGACCCACCATAATGGTGCCCATCCTCTGTCACATATTATGAAAGATATGCATGTATGTACTTATGCACCATGTTTTGAGTCCTTTGTAGCTACCTGACTTAACAAATCTTAAAATGTAGCTGTTTCACTGTACACTCATACTTTACTGACAGATGGCTGATCAGACGAAACACACGTGAAACAGGAGTGGGTGGGGCGGAAAACAGTAAACACCAACTGTGCTCTTTGGTTTACCTCCTGAGTTGACTTATGAGATGTTAGTACACCGGATGGTAGCAAAGATCAACAAAAATGAATCGTTAGCTCAGAAAACTTGAAACGCAAAATGCGATGCTATCTTCACGCATTTCTCTTGTGCATGGTCTTCACCTTCTGTTCACTCTTGTATGTGTTCAGTCAACTAGCCTCCACCTTCGAGGACAGTGAGGAGTGGAACCTGAGAGAACAGGGGATACCCGAAAGGAGAAGTCATGACACCGGGCATATTCTCAGGAAAAGGCCAGGACTGGCAGGCCTCCGAGACCGTGAAGAAGGGCTTGACAGGTAGCTTAGCCGACTATGCTGCTTCCCTTCATTTCACAACTGACATAAGTAGTGGTTAGCTCTAGCTACACTTGCAGATGCTATTAAGTTAGCCTAGTGAGGACAAAAATCATGTAGTTATAGCTAACGTTGCAATTGAAACGTTTGTTGACATCTCACGGCTAACGTTAACGTTACTTAATTTAGGTTAGCTACCGGGCTAATAATAATTTAACTAAGATGGAGAACTTCAGATATATTTAGCGTTTTAAATATTCTGTTTTGCACTCACTGTCTTTAACGATATGTGTTCATAATTGCTAATGCTGTCTTTTTATTAAATCTATTAACTACCACCTGTTAGCTAGATAATTAATTAACCATTTACGTTGCTGCTAACTAATTCTCTGCCTCATTAGCTCTCGGCTGGATTTTCAATACCGCCATCTGTTGAACAACTAACTCTAGGAAGCAGTTCAGGAGCGATCTAATCCCTAAACATCAAGGTCTGATGTCCGAGAGATTAATTTAACTTTGAGGATGGCAAAGCTCACGTTTTCATTCTGACAGGTGTAAATCACTGTCAGTTTCTTACTGGAATCCATATTGGAGACTGCCTGCTGATGTTTGTGGAGTGAACTGCTTATTGGAATCTACTCTTAGGTATGACTGATTTTGTGCATCTCTATAAAAGATAACAGTGACCTTTAATGATCCATAGATTTTAATTTTCAACTTTCACTTACTTCCTAGATCCACAGTTCGAAGTAAAGTCTAAGCCTATTGCTGCTATCTCAGTGTGCCTAGTGACTATTCTTGAGTTGTTGAACTCATAAAAACAAGTAGTTCTATGAATTCAAACATGCTGACAACTCAGTCAGCGATAACTGTTAGTTGATAGTGTAAAGCCATCTCACTCTGAGTACTATTAGGCTGTGCTCTGGGGGAAAATACTTTTCTTTACATTATATTATAAACATTAATCTGTTATATTTGTCATAGAATTACATTCTTACATACGCTGCCAATATGCCACTGACAGACTGTTCATAATCTCTAATCCCATACACAGTAATGCAGTCATGGGAGGAGCTGAAGCTATAGCTTTTCTGGATTCAAAGTCACAGTTTTATCTCAAGGTTAGCAAAGAGAATGATAATACAGGTCTTGGGGCATTCTCAAAACTGTCTGACTGTCCTACCACTTGATCTATGGTAGGCTTCCAATACTATGACACATATATAGAGATATGTTCCTTTTAAATTTATGAGTTCCAATCTTGAGAGTACTAGTTTACAAGGAACACTTGGGGGCAGCACAAAGCATGAGTGATAGTACATCTCTTCATTAAATCTAATGACAGTTCCAACCCTACAGGGCTGTCAACTGAGCCTGCTGATGTCTCCATAACTTTGTTCACTCCTGCACATGTCACTGAATCCATGCTGTTGTAAAAATAAAATCCAGGGTTAATTAGTGAATCATTTAACTTTGTCTTTGCTCTTAGAGAGAGGTCAGGCTCAGCAGTCAAGGAACATAGTGATGAGAGGAGTCACTTGGCTGTGGTGGCCTGTGGCCCCAGGCTAGAGGAGACTCTCACCATGTTGAAGTCTGCTGTTCTCTTCAGCAAAAAGCCTCTCCACTTTTACATCTTTGCTGAGGAAAATCTACATCACAGCTTCAGAAGTGCAGTAAGTGTTCTCCCATTGTTGTCCCCAACACCACAAGCATTTTCATGTACTTCTGTATTAATTTGCTTGAGTTTCTTAAAGCTATAGTCCAGTTATAACAGAATGTGTGTAAATTATTTTCTGTGATCTTTGTTCTTATCTTTTCTTAAAGCTGGACTCCTGGCCTAGGACAGTTCAGAACAAGTTTAAGTTCACCATCTATCCCATCACTTTTCCCAAGGATAATGCAAAAGAGTGGAAGAAGCTCTTCAAACCTTGTGCTTCTCAGAGGCTCTTCCTGCCAGTAAGCCTAGAGTCATATTCCATACATAAAGTGTGATTTGCAATGGTTACACATTTTCAACATATTCTGAGAATATTGCTGTCTTATTTCCAGCTGATCCTGAAGGAGGTGGATTCTTTGCTCTATGTGGACACAGATATCCTTTTCCTGCGGTCAGTAGAGGACATGTGGGCCCTGCTTTCTCGGTTCAATTCAAGCCACTTAGCTGCCATGGCTCCAGAACACGAAGAGCCACGCATTGGCTGGTACAACCGTTTTGCCCGTCACCCTTATTATGGCAAGACAGGCATCAACTCAGGTGTCATGCTCATGAACATGACTCGCCTCAGGGAGAAATTTTTTAAGGTAATGTGCAGGTAGATGATAGTTTTTTTTATGTGTTATCATCTAGTAGTATTCAGTAGGTAAACCTCTGTCAGCTGGTGGAATGTGCTAAACGTTCCTACTTCATGTTGCCAATTTAATATACTAGTGTCTCATTACAGCAGCATTACAGAATATGGAAAAGGACTGTGCAGGTGTGAAACATCTTAAATGAAAAATAAAAAAATGGAAATGTTATTATTTCCAGGTCTTTTCATAATTTCCAAGGAATGTTTATGGGAAATGCTATGGCTCAAAGTTGATACAAATGTAACTACACATTTAATGCAGGCGTCAGTGTTGATAGGCTGTGTCAGTTTACTTTTGATATTTGTTATAAAGAATAATCTATGGAGTAATACATTGTCATATTATCCAAATGTATTAAACATTAACATTTTAACATTGTGTTGATTTAGAAATATGTAGAGATGTTTCTGAAATTTTGAATATTTTGAAAAGTAGTTGTGAATACTAAAGGTTGGGTCTCAGGAGTGGCTGTCCCACCGACATTGACCAGTTGAGGTCACTCTTGTAATTCCTTTCTAAAGCCTCACAATGAGCATACTTGTTTGACAGATGAAACAGTTTCTTTGAATTGAGGTGAAGTGTTAACAAAAGAATTAATTTCCCAGAATTGCAGGTTCATGGTTTCCTCATGCAAAATAATATGAATAATTTAATGTTATGTGTTTTGTCCTTCTAGAATGACATGACAGCAGTTGAACTGCGGTGGGAGGAAATTCTGATGCCTCTTCTCCAGAAGTATAAACTCAATATCACCTGGGGTGACCAGGATCTTCTTAATATCATATTTCATCATAACCCAGGTTCATGCAACCACATAATCACAAATATTTTGAGTTATAAATGTTACGGTAGTTCAGAACACCAACTATGCTTCACTAAAGACATTTTGGTTGTTGTTAAATCTTCGATTTAATTAGGTTCTTGTTGGATGAACTCAGTTATTTAAAATCAACCCAACCGAGCTTCTTGCTGTGTTCCAGAGAGCCTGTATGTGTTCCCCTGCCACTGGAACTACCGTCCAGACCACTGTATCTATGGCAGCAACTGTCAAGGGGCTGAACAAGAAGGTATCTTCATTCTCCATGGTAACAGGGGAGTGTACCATGATGACAAGCAGCCAGCGTTTCGAGCTGTCTACGATGCCATCCAAAAGGTAGAGAAGGCCTCAACTAACCAGAAGTCTGTGGTTTCTCTGAGCCCCCACAGTAAAATAAAAAAATTGTATTCCCTGATGGGTTCTTATTTGTTAACAAACGCCAAGTCTTGCAAAAGAATAGAATTATGTATATTCATTCTCCCAAACCACTATATTGAGAGTACTCCAGACACAGGCAAGTGGAAAACTAAGTATGTAAGTTATTTTTCAAAGGCTTTGTTTATTCTATTGAGTTTTTATAGACTGTCTTTCTTGTGCCTCTGTTTGTTTAGAGGACAGTTGTGTAGACAGACCAGACTATTTGGAAAAACATTTACTAGTCATTATGTCATCAATAGGCACTCCAGACCATTGCTTTTCTCTTATGGATGCTTCCTTCCACCAGTGCTTAATCAATAGGCTGTTAAACATTTCCGTCATTCTGTCTCAGCTCTCCCAAACCAGACAAATCATCCCCACCCAGTTTCGACCAGTGGAAGGCTCGCATGAGATGTTGTTAACTGTAAGGCTAAAATTCATGTGGTTCGTTGCAGATTTGATGCAACCTATAATTCAAGGCACTTATTCTGACATTTCTTTGGGTGCATTACTAATT